GTTTTTCGCTAACCTTCATGGCACCGTATAACATCAAGAGGTTAAATATAACTGAAGTAACCATCACAGCAAGGGCGCCATAAATATTATCTCTATGCTCTGAAAAAAAAAATAAATAAATAGATAAATAAATAAAAAATAACCTAAACGAAAATTGACGTCAACTTATGCAACTAATATTTCCATTTACACATATTACATAAAACTACCACAGGTAATATTCCATTTTTGAAAATGTTCACCTCATTAATGTTTTCTCGGTGTCATGGCCTACCTCTCATGCCCTCATCACAGAGGAAGTAGAATAAAATACCTATGACACCCGAGGTCTTAGCCTGTGGATAATACGTAATAGATATACAAGAGAAACCAGTGTTCAGATCATTACACGCATGATCACACAGAAAAAAAAACACCGCTAACACAGACAGATATCACAACAGATAACACATGGCCCTCCACTATAACACAGAGATATTACGACAGATAACATGACACTTCACTATAACACATAGATATCACAACAGATATCACATGGCCCTCCACTATAACGCAGAGATATTACAACAGATAACATGACACTTCACTATAACACATAGATATCACACAGATAACACATGGCCCTCCACTATAAACACGAGGACCAGTCTTACCAGGTAGAAAATGGCGACGATGATGCTGCCCTTATAGTAATCGCAACAGAATGAGCGGTTCTCTTCTCTGGCTTTCGTTGCTGACGCCTCTGAGGATCCTGGGGCGTTAGTTACTGGGTGCTCGACCAGCGGCAGCTTGCCCTTCGTCGGGTACATCATGCTGCACGAGAGAAGGAAAAATATTATACACAATGCATGTATGAATGTATGTGTGTATATGTATATGAATGCTTATACATATACATATGTACATATATACACATATATACATATATAAACACACACACACACACACACACACACATATATATATATATATATATATATATATATATATATATATATATGTCTATATAAATGTATATACATGTGTGTATGTATGTATGTGTGTGTGTGTGCATGTATACGCATGCTTATATATGTACATACGCATGTGTGTACATGTGTATGTATATACACATATATATGTATATATACATATATAAGGATATATATGTGTACATATTTATGCATACATTAATATACATATATATGTACGTACACACACACACACACACACACACACACACACACACACACACACACACACACACACACACACACACACACACACACACACACACACACACACACACACGCACACACACATACACACACACACACACACACACACATATATATAAGGCTTTTTTGTAGCCTCCCGGAACCCCTAACACTTTGATACATTGTTTCAAGTTGTATCACGGTCGCTACAAAACACTATAACATCGAAGTTTGCACTAACATAATAAGTATTGAAAAAAATATATATTTTTATTTACTTCCCATAAAAGTCAATAGAAAACCACTAAGATACATAATATGCATGTGTGAGTGAATTGCAAGCAAAACATTGTGGAACCTTTAAATAAAATGGAAAAAAAAGTATCTAACTATTCCACAACTTTATACACACCAAACTCCGCTTCGCAAGACTGTGGAAAGTTTAAATATATTGCTCATAATCTGTCAAAATATTTTTTTTTCTTTATTACATACATTGTTTTTTCATGTGAAAAGTGAAAATTGTTTAAAGTTTTGGATCTTATCGTATCCACCGCGAGTGAGTTCCGTGTCCAAATCAGACAAATGGGTAAATCCAATGATCACGGACATTTACCTGACTTACTGATTGGATAATATCAACGAATCAAGGAACACATCCTTTTCTTTCCTATTTTTGAGCTTGTAATCATACATAATGGAGGTAGAGATTGATTTTAAAGATATCCATCACACCGAAGTCAATACCACGTCATATGACTCGGACACATTGGAAATTCTTGCCATCTCCTTCCAGCGACCGTCACGGTTGCCCAGCTCTTAATATATCTGAAAAAAACAGGAAAAATATCTGACTGGCTGCCCGGAGGGTATCAAACCCTATCAGGTTAAAGGCAAACAATATATACACATTTATATATACACATATATATACACATTTACATATATATACATATATATATACATACACATACTGTGTACTGTATATATATATACATATACATACACACACTAGGCTAAGTATAACGCTGCCTATATGTAAACGTGTCTATCTTTTCATATACGTTATATTTTCTGTAAGGTCTGCACCGATATTGCAATTCAACGATGCCTTTTATAAACTGACAAGTATAAGGAAAGGACTTTAGCGTCGGCAAGGTACGCCAGACGCCACGAGCACGAATGGTGAGCAGAAGCGAACACGCCCGTGAACACAAACCACGACGCACTAAGAGAAGCCCTCGCTGGTGCAGGGGCCAGTGCAGTAACTACCTATACGTTTTTTTATGTTTGTTTGTTTTTTTCCTGTAACTTATTTTCTACATATATTTCTAAACTATATAAAGGCAGTCCGCATTATGCGTGCTGTACCGTAATTAACTCTTATGAACTTCCTAATTTTCTCCTTACCACTCGGATATGCTTTCAGCGACTACTTGATCTTACCTCTGTAGTCCTTTATATAGTTCGGTTCTGTGGCGTTGCCGATTAGCGATCACTGCGCTAGTCTTATCTGGATTAGATACATTCTTATTCGTATTTATTTCAGGATAATGGCTTCAGGGTGATGCGTGGTGATAACACTGATCATGATACACAATGACTATACCATAGCAGCCAAACGGACGATTTTAAACAAAATTGTTAAAACAGCGCCATTGCCTCGGCTATGCTTGTACTGGTTTTTATATTGTTGCTTCCTCGTTTTCTCTTGGTGGATATGTGCGGTTACTGCCTTAAATAGGAAAATATTTTTCGCTAGCTTATTATTGATGTTATGGGAGAAGGTGTATTATCACATTATCCTCTTCCCCCTCCATTTCAAAAATGCCTCCTGCGTTCCTAGAAAATATTGTCTGTGGCCCCCTTCATCATCATCATAAGGGGGCATACGCATGGCTGCGCTTTGCCTCGCCCAACCTTTGCCTCCATCTCCTGGGGTCCCTCCGAGCGAGCCTCCATGCAGCATTCCTTCCCACTCCCAGTACATCTTGGCAGATCTGATCGACTTGCTTCAGCCATGAGTTCCGTGGCCTTCCCCTTGGTCTTCTCCAGCCTGGGTCAACCCTCTCGGAGATGACCCTATGTGCCGGATCTTCCTCAGTGGCCCCCTTCGAGAACAGGTATTCGTTTTCGCCGCACAAGTGCTAGAAGTGAAAGCAGGAAGGTTTTGTTGCAGGGAGGCAGTTGCTGGGGACAGAGGTTAAGCATACCATCCGGCCTTGCTGGTATTATTTACACACACATATACACACTATATGTTGCTGGCTCGAGCCCGAGAAGACATATTGCCTTGAGAAGTCAAACGCAGGTGCCGTAGGGGAATGTTAGTGTTAGTGCGCCGGACCGAGAGGAGGTACGTCTGAATTCCTCTCCTTCCTGCCAAGGCTCGCTCCTCCCCTGTTCACTGCTTCCTGACAGTAAAAAATAAGAAAAAAAAATATAATTAAAGATATTAAAAAGTGTGATGTATGGGACTTAGGCGCACTTGTATCATAATACTGTTAAAAATGATTGATGGTTGAACACATTAGCAACTTCTGAAGATGACTCACATCTTAACTGAAAGCGTGACACACTACAAGAAATTATCCTGTATACTGTAAGATAGTTCACCCCTTTTCACCCCAGTTCGTCTGTATAAACGATGTGAAACAATTTTCATTCGAATAAGTATCTGCCACGGGGAAGTTTCCGTTGAAATTGAGCTCTGAATATTTTGGTGGCTATTGCAGAAAATCAAGTACTGTTACGCTTCTTTCTGATTGCAGCACCTGATTGCAGTGCTAATTACCTTCCTTCGCTATTCCACACCACTTCGTCGATTTTTCATATTAGTTTGTACAAAGGGTAATGAATGATACTTATTTTTTCTGACTGTACTTTCCCTTGCCTTTTCTCTCGCCCACGCTTCTTTCTTCTGCTTCTGTCTTCCTGTCTCTTTTATATTCTCTCCCTACGTTCCCCTCGTTCATACAGATGGATATTCTTATGATGTTTTTTGACATGTATTTTGTTAACCCATGAGGCAATCATAAAGATAACTTTATTTGCGTCAGTTTTCCGAATATTACCATTGTTGTGTTATACTTATCATCTTTATTACTATTATTTATTATTATTATCACTCTTCTTCGACTTCCTATTATAACTATTATTATCATTATCATCATATCACCACCATTACTATCGTCATAGCAATCATTAACACTCATAGCTTTATTATTGGCAAAATTATTGTAAATATGATTATTATCGCCATTAGGGTTATCTTGTTGATATCACCAAGTGATTTTATTATGTACACTGAAAATTGTAGGTGACATTAGTTTACATATTACATTTAGGGTGAATTAGTATTCATCCCATAACTATAGATGGTTATAGCAAATACTTACACTCAAACATAATTATACTTACACACGCAAACATATACTTAATGATATATGCGAGAAATATGTTCCTTATTTCTCTTTCTCTTCCCCGTTCTCCCGAAAATATACAACAAAGCGTGCTATTAATAGTGAATAACATTTCCCTGATATTTCAAACTGCATTCTGCAATTACTCCAGCAATAGCAACACTCTCTTTGAGAACCAATTTGTGAAACCTCATCAACCCAACCATGACGTCACGCACTCTATGACGGCAAGGTACTCACGCAAAACCAAAAACTCTCTCCTCATTCTTGGTTTTATTCAAAGATCTACACTTTATACAGAATGTGTTCTCTTAAAGAGCTAATAGTTGTGTACATAGTTTTAATTTTATGTGGTATTAATATTAGAAAAGAACATACGATGTTAGAGGACAGCTCATGTCCACCTTAGTCATTACTATTATAATTACAAACCCAGTCCTTATGAAGTCATACTATCAATTAAAACCCAAGCGGCAAAAAAAAGTGCTTAGTTGATTCTCCTTGGCAGTGATTTGTCTAAAGAGAATGATCGACTGACGTCTCCAAATGATTAATCTTTCATTATGTTCTTTTGGTTTAAGAGAATTCCCTTTCTTTTTCCTTTTTTACTGCTTCAAGACCTGTGAAATTCCCTTTTAATTTTTACTGTTTAAAGACCTGTGAAATTGGTGGTTGTGCCGATGAGTAAGATGGGGGGGGGGGGTTAGGATTATTATTTCTCATCTTTCATTTTTTGTGTAGGTGTGTGTTTGAGGCTAACAGTATCCTCATAGATGATTTATATCATTACCTCATATTTTCACAATGATGATAACAGTGAGGAATTTTTTTGTCCAATCGCGCCTATAAGTAGACATCGTTTTATTACATTTTTTTCTGTACAATAAACGGGTTAATATTCCGATTCAGTGTTCGCTGCCGCCTTCCACAATCACCCGAAGATGCAGTTCGGCTGAGTGACAATATCTCTCTAAGCGGCCATAGGATTCTTTCCGGGGGTCTTGGAGCAGTTTGAAAATTGTGGCTTCGAATTAAACTGGATTTTGTCTCACCAACAGTACCTACAGATAATTTTCTCTTAGATATCAATAAATCGGAGTCTTTCTATGCAGTGTCCTTGTCCTATAGCTGTTGACACCATTACACTGTTCATAACTAGTAATAAATGAATATGAGAAAATGACAGACTAAAGGAGTCGAAATTGCTCTTCATTAATAGATGGTTAGTATAGAGGAAAAATCAGACATAGAAATAGGAATTTAAAGAAATTATATTAAGAAACAATACCATCTATGACGTTACTTTGATGGCTTACAGTGAAAATAAGTGTTCATTAGCTTTGACGTTTTAGTGCTCAAAAGAACATTAGTAACATGTAACCTCAAACACAACACCTAGGGCGATAATCACGAAAGATCATGTCCTTAAAATGATTTCGCCTCTCGCACTAAAATAATGCAATGAATTTCAACTTCTTAATGACTTTACTATTATGAATATAATATATCTTTTATGCGTGATACCCCTCTGCGTTTATTATTCATCAGCTGTGAAGGCGCGCATCACCATTTGCAATTATTGAAGGGATATGTAATAAATTTGAAGGAATTAACAATGTTTTTTTTCTGTAAGGCGAATCTATTTTCGTAAACCCCAAACATATAACACTGCCCACACGACAACACGAGATTACATGCAGCAACACATGGCAACACCAGTACACCACCACACACCAACATCTGACAACACAGCGCCACACACCAAGAGAGGGAGTGAGAGAAAAATAAAAATATTTTTCACTTCTAATGACGAATTCATCGTGATAAACAGCAAGAAGTGGAAGGGAAAGAGAAAAAAATACCCAACACCAAGACCCACCTTGAAGCCATTATCCTGAAATAAATACGAAGGATGTAAATAATCCAAATGAAATAGCCGCTATGATCGCTGTTCGGCAACACCACAGAACCGGAGCTATATAAGGGATTGCACAGGCAAGTTCCATGAGTCGTTGAAAGTATAGACGAGTGCTAGGGAGAAAGCTAACAAGTTCATAAGGATTCAGTTGTGCTCAAGTGTTCGTTGGTTACTCGTATTTCAGAATTAAATACTGTAAGGTACGTATAATGCTGTTTTTTTTTTTTTTTTTTTTAAGAAATTTATGTTGAAAATCAAGTTCCAGGATAGAGGTGTAGGTAATTACTCTACCTCCTATTTCATCTGCAATTTGTTGGTTGTTCTCTCTTCCTCGTGTCGCTATCTTAACGAAGTGGATGCACTGGCCCCTACACTAGCGAGGACTTCTCTTAGTTCAGTGCGTCGTAGTTTGTATTCAGGGGCGTGTTCTCTTCTGTTCACCGTTCGTCCTCGTGGCGTTTGGCGTACCTTGCTTGCGCTTCCCTCATAATTGTCAGTTTATAAAAGGCATCGCTGAATTGTATAGCCGGATTGCCATTGCGGCACACCTTACAGAAAATGTTAGGTAGATAAAAAGTACGTTTATTGCTGTTTTCCTTTTCATCTTTGAGTACACGTTACTGCGTATGTTTATATATATATGATATATATAAATGTATGTGTATGTACAGATGTATATATATTCATATACATGTATGTATATACATTCTCTCTTTCTCACACACATACACACTCACACACTTACACACACACATACACACTCACACACTCTTACACACATACACTATTCATTCATACACATGTACATATGTATACGTATGTATACATATACATACAAATACACACAGTGTGTATGTAGGTGTGTATATACATATACACATGCACATATCTATACATATATAGATAGATATGTATTTATGTGCATACATTGTTCGAGTGTGTAATGATTTTCCTTCTCTCGTGCAGCATGGATTACCCGACGAAGGAAAAGCTGCAGCTGGTCGAACACTCAGTTACTCCCGCCCCAGGATCCTCAGAGGCGTCAGCAGAGAAACCCGAAGAAGCAAATAGCTGCTGTTTCTGCTGCAGTTATCGGACGGGCAGCATCAGCATCGCCATCTTCCACTTGGTAAGACTGGCCTCATGTTATAGCGGAGTGTTATGTAATCTGTTGTGATATCTGTGTGTTATAGTGGAGTGTCATGTTATCTGTTGTAATATCTCTGTGTTATAGTGAAGTGTCATATGTTGTTATATCCGCATAGTGGAGCGTCATGTGTTATTTGTTGTGATATCTGTCTGTGTGTTATACCAGTGTTCGATTGTATAATAATGACATGAATACGGATCTCGCTAATGTAAATTTATTACGTATTATCTACAGGTGATGTACTTAAGTTATTTAGGCCTTTTAATCAGTGTCCTATGCAGTAGGGGTGCTAGAGGTAAGTCATTTTGTTGAGTAAAAAAAATATATAAGAAGAAAATGAAAACATGAAATATTACCTTTGGTGGTTTTCTGCATTATGTGCAATAGGAATTACCACTTACATCAGTTTACGACAATTTAAGTAAATCTAGTTTGTTTTTTCAGACGTTGGAGCTATGTTTTTTGTCGCACTTAGTGTGATGACTATTTCAATAGTCTTTATCTCCTTGATGTTACACGGTGTCGTAAAGGTTAGTGAAAAACGTCAATGTCAGTAAACGCACATTCATGTATACACAACACAGAAACACCCTCAGCCACACATGCACGCACATACAGATACACACACATACCCACGCATATACATACATACACATACATGTACACATGTGTATATACACACCTACATGTACAAACACATACGTACGTACGTACATATATACATACATATACATTCGTCCATATACATATGTACATATACATACGTACATATAGATATATACATACGCATATATACATATACAGATACGTATATGTACATACATACATACATATACATACTGTTTTAGTTACAGGAGAAATATGAAAGAGAAAAAAATAAGGAAAGAAAAATATAAGAGGGAGAGAGAAATAAATATGACAAAGAGAAACTAAGAGAATAAATAAATAATGATAATGACAGAGAAAAAAAAATAAGAGAGAAAGACGAATAATCGAGAAAGAATGAAAGAGAGAGTGATCGAATGATAAAAAGAGAGAAAAAAAAAAAAACAAAGACCAAGAAATTACGAAAGAAACGAAAGAGAGAGAGAGAAATTTCCTAATTCTCTCCCTCGTTTCAGCGCCGTCACCAGTACCTCCTAGCCTGGGCTGTGTGGGAGGGCTTCATCATCGGCTTCGAAACGGTGTGTCTGGTTATCTTCAGTATTGGCGGCATTGGACTCGTGGGCTTCATTGTCCCTGTTTTCCGAGGCTGCTGCGTTTTCGTCGTCCTGCAGTACCGTGGCCAGGTAATGTTTTTTTTTTCCCGATTAATGGTTTTCTTTTCTCTTTTTTAGCTTCTTTATTTCTTATTGTTATTTTTTCTCCTTTTTGCTCCTCCTTTTCTCTTTTTTAGTTTCTTTATTTCTTATAGTTATTATTTTTTTCTCCTTTTTGCTCCTCCTTCGTCTTCTCCTTTTAGTCCTCCTACTCCTCCTTATCCTACTCTTCCTCTTCCTTCTTCTCCTACTCTTCCTCCTCCTCCTCCTTCTTCTCTCCCTACTTCTCTTTCTCTTCCTCCTCATTCTTCTCCTCTTCCTCATTCTTCTTTTCCTCCTTCTCCTTCCTCCTCCTTCTCCTACTCTTCCTCCTCCTGCTTCTCCTCCTCCTCCCCATTCTGCCTCTCCTTCTCCTCTTTCTCCTCCTCCTACTCCTCTTCATTCTTCTTCTCTTTCTCCTTCTCTCCCTATTCCTCCTCTTTCTCCTTCTCTTACCCCTTCTTTTCTTCTTTCTCCTTCTCCTCCTTTTGCTTCTCCTCCTCCTTCATCCTCCTTCTATTCCTCCTTCTCCTACTCCTCCTTTTCCTCATTCTTCTCCTCCTTATCCTACTCTTCCTCCTCCTCCTCCTTATTCTCCTCCTATTCCTACTCCTCCTCCACCTCCTACTCTCCCTCGATTACCGTGACTGTATATATACCGATTAAGTGATACGGAAATAGGCAAATAGAATGGGGAAAACAGTCTCACACGGAGCCTTACTTTCGCAGCTGATGGCCCAGCCTCCGAAGTCAGAGGGCAACGCCCAGGCCTAATTTACGAAGATGCAGCCTCCTCTTCCTCCCACGCTTGGCTTCAGGAAATTTGTGAAACCTCTAGGGTTTCATTATATATATATGTGTGTATGTGTTTGTAAATTGTTTGTTTTTGTAATGTTATAATTGTTTGTATTCCTTATGGAATAAAATCTATATTACTGAAATTGATTTATTTCCCTTACTCAACGTACAAGAATGTGGTTATCTTACATGATATTCCTTTGCAGAGAATAACCGTTATAACAGTAATAATAATGAAAAAGACAAGAACGGTAATGACAATAAGAGATGAAAAACAAAAGATAACCAGAAAAGTCGAAAACTGATAAGGTGCAGTTGTTCGCAGCAGAGATGAGAACCAAAAATGTAAGAGAGAGGAAGGTGACATGAAAAATGATGTGGAATGGAGAAAGATAAAATATATAAATCAGTGACAAAGGAAAAGAAGAGGCAAATAGGGAGAACCGGCGAAAGACACCAAAGAGAACAAGAAAAATAGATAACCAGAGAAAAGGCAAAGAAAGAGATACAGGCAACAGAATAAAGGCGAGAAAGAAAAAGAGAGAGAATGAGACAGAGATAACCAGAGTATGAGACAGAACGTGGGTATCGCTCGGGAGCCAAACGGGACCTTCTGGCACTGGGTGAAGCTTCGTGCAAATCCAGGTACGAGGTCAAGGGTGAAAGGGCGTGGCCTATGCGTGACCTGGTACCGTAACGACCGTTGACTGGTTGTCTAGTGGTCGAGGCTACAGAGTAGGTTGAGTCTGATTGGTCAACCTGCTTGTTGAAGGGGCGGGCTAGAGGAACCTTAAGTACGTCTGATATCGAGAAAGAATTGAACATATATATGTGTGTGTGTTTGTGTAGGTGGATCGCTGAATTGCATAGCCTGATTGCAACGGTGGTCCTACCTTACAGAAAATGTTAGGCAGGTAATAGAGAAAAGTACGTTTATCAAATATAGTCGATTGTTGAATGAAAATTCGTTGGTAACAAAGAAGAAAGCCAAGAGGAGGTAAGCGCAGTTAGGTATTCCTTATTTACTTTACTTTCCTCCGTTTCTTCAAGCTGTTTATCGTTAAATCAGCCATTAATATAGAAGTGAAGAATCTCCCTCTCTCTCTCAGAATGTGGCGCTGTGTTGCCAAATGTTGGTGTGTAGTGGTGTTCTGGTGTTGCCATGTATTGCAGCATGTAATCCGGTGTTGGCATGTGACTTCCTCTATGTTGGTGTGTAGCCATGTGTTATCTGGGGCGGGATTCACGAGAGGTCATAGAATAGATTCTAACAGAAGGAAAAAAACAATTCTTCCATGTTTAATACGTTTTTTTCTTCGATATTCATACATGACGTTTCACGCTTTCACAGCTGACTCCATGACAACAAATGTAGAGGGATGTCATGCATACATATATTTTAAATGTGTAATGGTAAAGTCAGTATAAAGAGATTCATTGTAATTATTATTTCTATCCTTTATTGATATGTGAAAGATAATTATCTATAGGTACAGTTGGTGAGACAAACTCCAGTTTAATTCGAAGCCATATTTTTCATACTGCTCCAAGACCCCCGGAAAGAATCCTATGGCCGCAATATTAGAGAGATATTGTCACTCAGCCGAACCGCATCTTCGGGTGATTGTGGAAGGCGGCAGCGAACACTGAATCTGGATATTAACCCGTTTATTATACAGAAAAAAATTAGTAAAACGATGTCTACCTTTAAGTGTGAATGGACTAAAACATTCCTCACTTTTATCATCCTTGTGAGAATAAGCGGTGTATGAGTGTATGTATATATATGTAAACGTATACATATATAGCATTATGAAACTTCATCTGTTCCGAAATTTGAAAACAAGTACAGCATTTCCGAATTAACTCCTGGCGGTCGTTTCGGTTTCATCTACTCCCGAGTAAAGATACTTTTTTGCGATTGTGCTTTGCTTATTAAAGTCCACCTAGTAATGATACTGAATTTCTACATTTGCTCTTATAACGAGTTTATTGAATGTCTGGATCAAGTTAAATAAGCAATGATGATATTTTAGCCAAAACGTTTCACCTTAGAAGCCTCCTGTGATTTTCGTGACGGCCCAGCGATAATTGGGCGACGGGCGCGAGGTGGCGGTCCGGCTCTCCGTTTAAAGGTAACCTGAGGTGTTGTTTTCTGCATTGATAAATCGTGTCATATAATTTGCAATACTTAATTTATTCATCTACATTAGAAAATCGCACTTTTAGGCCCGCAGACTTCCCCACAGTAGCAGAACTTTTTGGCGCTCAGACAAACGATAGTTACGCCGCCCGCCGCTATCACCACGAGGAAGTTGAGGAAAGGGAAGAGAGAAAGGGAGAGAAAAAAAGAGGGAAGGTGAACTGTCCTTGAACCCTTGGGCAGAGGACCATTGTGCTCAAAAGAACATTAATCAACATGTATCCTCACACAACACCCAGGCTGGTATTTACGAGAGATCATGAGATTTAAGGACTGTCCTTAAAACGATGTCGCCTCTCTCGCACTGAAATAATAATTACAATGAATCTCTTTATACTGACTTTACCATTACACATTTAAATATGTTTGCATGACACCCCTCTACATTTGTTGTCATGGAGTCAGCTGTGAAAGCGTGAAACATCATGTATGAATATCGAAGTGAAAACTGCATTAAATATTGGAGGATTTTTTTCCCCTTCTATTAGAATCTATTCTATGACCTCTCGTGAATC